ATGCTTTTAACGCAAAACCAGCTTAAGGACTACTAAAATCGGTTCATGGATTGTAAGATTTAGCTCCCGAATTTTTGAAATTGGTTTGTTGTGCCTAGACCAAGCAAAAAAATTATTTCGTAAGAAAGGAGCAAACATAGCAAAAAGTGGTGACCCCTCTCCTTTCTGAGCCTCAAAAAGTTCTACATATCCACTCGGCTGCTACTGTACAGCCCTGACCTTTAAACGAGGTACATGAACAACACTCATACTGAAAACCATCGATTCTGACTCAGAAAGGTGTTTTAACTGTGCTTTGAAAAATTTGTGGACAAGTGATAATTTATAACTGACCAGAAGGACAAGCCTTCGGAATTCGGCTCCATCAAAACGGTAGTTCTGAAATTTCTTATGCGACTGGCCCGCGCGTTGAAGATTCTCACCAACTGCAATCACTTTGTCATTTTTCGCCCATGTGAAATATTTGACACCTCGAAGACGAGCTAAGTCCAAATAGCAACTCTCATCGCCACAATTATACCTAAAAATATGCATATTAAAAGCTTCAAAACGATAGTGCTTTGCAGAGAATAAAGTTATGTTTATTGAATAACTGTCACGTCATATACTGTCTGGAAACATTTATAGCAAGAAGTTATTTCCCTTAATTTCCTGACCCATCGTCGAAATATTCTAAATTCCAGAATTCAGAGGATCGCGTTGACGCAGTCGCTCTCTTATCATGATTATCAAGACATTCGACATTTGTAGCGAAATGACTATTTCGCTTATCGGACAATGCGCGACGCTGAAACTTCACTAAGATATTCTACTTTCAGCTGCGGTCTTAATTTTGCTTGGAAGTGAAATTCCTTGCAGGTAGATAAGACAAATATTCAACTTTACCATAAACTCAGAAATGAGTGCATTTTTTAGCGAACGGTCGCCCTTATCCTCTCCCAACATTCGATTCATTTACATATTTGGATTTTTTGACAAAAGATCACTCTAGCAACATTTCCACTTTTCATTAAAGAACTGGAAGTGGACGTTGGGAGAGGAAGAGGGCGGTCGTTCGTTGCAAAATGCACTCGCTTCTGAGTGAAACCTGCGTGAGAAGCTGAGCAACCCAGGCTGGAACGCACCAGGCGGGCCGGTGCGACTATGCGTTTTTGCACTTCTCGTGCCGTAG